GAGTGAACCACTGTTACTAACTAACATTTTTAATAATAATAATAATAATAATAATAATAATAATAATAATAATAATAATAATAATGTTTAATAATAATCCCACAATTCCACATTGATAAATTTAAATATTCTATCAAAAATATATTCTAATATCATTAATTATTGGGGACACTCGTTATAAATAATATCAATTTGTGAAAATTAAACGAATAGTCTGTAATTACCAATACCTTATCACTGAAAGACATGCGTAAATCGTAAAAGCCATTACAAGAGAGAGAATTAAAATTTTGGTATTGTGAAAAACGATAATGATTCTTCCCAGGCAGATCTTTTGAATATTTCTTTGAAATTGTGTAATTTGGTGTTCTGATGTAGCTTATACAATTTTGGTATACGTTTATACAGATTTAACTGGTTGGGTTGATAAAAAAGAAACAAAAAAACGTCTCTACAATAAGGCTTGCTGTGTGAGATGCATTTTTTTAAGCACATGTATTGGTTTTTATAAGGCTTTATTATATGGATTTGGATCACCTGAAATTATTCTAATAGCAGATGAATTATTAATATGGATCAGAGATAACAGAGATATAAGCAGTCATTCATAAAATATAATATTCATGGTGCCAACAATAGTTAGTACTGTATATATTCTATTTCTAGACGCGGGGCGAGGCGACGAAAGGTGAGAAGTAAGAGAAGGGATAGAGTGAAGGATTTTACGTAGTATTATCAATGAATAACTGCCCGAGCTTATACTACATAACGTAAATTTCCATGCCGGTGTAAGCCCTGTTGCCACTTCCAATTTAACATCTCTAGGTTTTGGAATTTGTTGAAAATTATTACATCTAATTTAATGAAATTACATCTAATTTGGTTAAAAATGGCTATTTTTTGTTCTAATGCTCAATTAGGTCTTTGTAGAAAGTATTTTTTTTATAATTATTTTAAATCATTTACATTAGCCCTTATGGTCGAAAAAAAAATTTAAACGTCAATATCTCGGTTTCAACCGTCTACAAATTTGTATAAAAAATGTTCTTTTAGAAATATACTTCTCATTTGACGAAAAACGAAGGCATAAATGAAAAACAACTATTCTTTATAAAAGTTTCGCCTATATATTGACAAGGTAAAAGTACTTTCGTCATATTTTTTGCTTTTAAATTAACAAAAATATAGCAATAAACAATTAGTGATGTCATGGTTTTACTAGAAAGCAAACATTAAAGGCAGAGCCTCTCGACTCTTTATGCATCTATCTCAGTATTGAAATGTATGTAATCAGTTTGAATCTCTAACATTATTTTATACAGGGATTATTGATTTTTCCACTATGAATAATAGGGTGTATTAATTACTTCAAAATTTTTTTTTATTTTTGGTGGAAAATGAAAAATAAAAAAATATAAACTATTTATTAAAGGTATTTATTGAAGTATCAATTATAAACAGTAAGGCTATTGCTTTGCAAAATACAATAAATCCCCAATATAAATAAATGATAATAATAATAATAATAATTGGAAGGAAGTATATAAAGCATAAATTAATATTAAAATTTATAATTACACGACTTTCAAACTAATCAGAATCAGATTCACCACACGAATCAACATTTTCCAAAACATTAGCGGCTGTGCCATACAGGTGCAGGAACCGATACAGCAAATATTTTTTTTCTGCATTTGCAAATTTTGCTTCCACAGTCTAAAACAGAATATTATTGTTAGAATATTGTATAGTATCTTTTTTGCATTTGCATGATGTAAGTTCTGTTATGTCTGGTGGCAGGTCGGACAGAGTCTTAAAAGTGGGTATCAGACTTCCATCTTGATCTACTTTCCATCCATACTCTTCAACATTAGGAAGCTGCATCTGGGTTTAAAGAGGTTAGCCAAATATTTAGCTGGTAAAAACATCTTAAACAATGTAGTCTTAGGGCGTCTTCAGTCGGTGGCAATTTAGCGATGGTTTTTGAAGAGGCCAATAATCCCCCCAAAATGTTAATGGAAGTAACATTGGCAGTTTTGAATAAATTTTTATGAAAATTCTTTCAAGATTAGAGAATATGTTTTCAGAGTACTGATCAATGCCAAATCCATCCAAAAAGTAATGGTGTTAAAGGTAAGTTTTCCAACAGGTTCTTTTCCCAATGCTGGACAATTAGCTGGTTGTATTACAACCGCTCAGAGAATGAAAAGCAGGCACATTTTTTAGAAGGTTTTCATCCAAATTTAAATAATGTACTGCTAGAAATCGTCTTGAGTCTCCTCGCCCTGTTCTGAACCATATATCTTCAGTCAAAAACTTCTTAAAAGAAATTAATAAGACATCTGTATCGTTGCAATAAATAATGCAGCGTGAATGCCCCGAATTTTTGGCTGACAATATGTGCAATAAGATACGATTATTAACGTCTTCGTGATTTGAATTTAAAAAATCGTCTTTTGATGGTTTAAAATCTTTCCATATTTATTGATTATTGCGAGTTTTGAAGAAGTTGCTCTGGCAGAAAATGTGTTAAACGTCTTTTGTTAAATATCGAATGAATAAACAAGTTCTATTGTTGCGGAAGTAGAATATTGGGTCGGTCAATTTCTATATCAATTGATTTCTGAAATCCTCTCTTTTGACGTGTTATATTTTTGATAGAATGTCCTTTATAATGATCAAATACCACATCTATCATTTGAGCATTAAATTTATTTCTAAAAATAATGTTTACAAATATATGAGCATATTCTTTAAATGATATGCAACTTTTGAGCTTTCCTATTTTGATATAATTTTTGTCTTTGCTACTTGTAGCAACAAATCCGTAATTAAAATTTTAAACGAAAACTTATGACTTACCCAAATATATTCAGCTGCAACAGGATGAATGTAGATATAATAAAGATGCAAAAATGTCTATATTTTTTCCCAATTTATTAGGTAATTTAATATATAACACATACACTTATTAATTCTTTAGTAAAAACAGATAACAATATGACACATTGCCCAATGGAACATAACAAGAAGTTTTATAATAAAAAAAATGAAAAATCCTACCATATCAATAATGTGATACATCAGCCGGCACGTAGAGAGAAACAGAGCTATGCTACGTTTGAAGGTGAAGAGAAAGATACACTGAGAGTTGATAAATTTGGCGGTGAGAATTAATAACAGCATAAACCTATGACATCTCTCATCGTTTATTGTTATATCTTTGTTAATTCAAAAGCAAAAAATATGGTGTTTACTCTGTTACCTTGTCAACACATAACCAAAAATTTTATAAGGAATGTTTTTTTTTCATTTGGGCCTTCGTTTTTTGTTAAATGAGTGGTATATTTAAAAAAGACGACTTTTTAACTAAATTTTTGAAGGGCTAAAACCAAGATATTTACGTTTATATTTTTTTTCAGCCGTAAGTGCTAATGCAAATGATTTTTTTTAAATAAGTATGAACAATTACTTCCTACAAAGATTTTATTGTGCATTTGATCAAAAAATGAGTATTTTTTTCTCTATTCGGTGGTATCAATATCTGAATTTTTGATGATAATGCCCTTCTGCACACTCTAATTTTGTATTAACTCCGGAATAAGGGTTACCTTATCATGACCTTTCATCTGTGAAAAATTCAGCCTTGTGACAAAAGAGTGGGAGGTGAATCGTTTTCTTGAGCGAATAACAATGACAACAGCGGATATTATGTCCTACTGTGTCCCTTAGAATATGTCTTATTCACGGCCGCACGATATTTGTTAGTAGTTACATCTCCTGGTTATCTCTGATATGGATCCAAACTTGTGTTTTCCAGTACAACTTAAGGGTGCTTTCTGACCATCATCATTAACAACAGAAAGTACCACAGTGTGCGAATTTTACTTATTTTTAAACATTCTTTTTGTTTTTATGAACTTTCGGACATTTTCTAAACCTTTCGCGAAATTCGTTATTTTTTAATGGTTTTATTCATTTATTTCCCAAAATTAAATAATTAATAATTAATTTGTGTACCAGATACTTGAGGAGAGGTAGTTATTATTGGGGTTTGTCATCTCCACCAAGCATCCATGATCTCTTGCAAGAGCTAGGGACAAGTTACAATTTCTTTTATACCCTTGCTATTTAGTAATAAAGTATTATTCCATCCGTATTGCGTTTTCATGTTCTATGCTTTCCTACGTAATACCATTAAATAATCTAGTGCCCGAGAAACGGCCGTAATAAGCGCAATTCGTAAGAAACAGTATTCTTTTTGATGAGAAAACTACTTGCAGCATACACACAGGGAGTTTGTAGGGGGTGGTTGCCGAAGTTATTTGGTTAAAAAAAACCACGGGAAAAGTCTGGGCCGCCGAGAGTCGTAGTGGGGCCCCGGGGCAAATACTGGCAAGGGATCTCCCCGCACATATTGTAATCTATTTTTTTTAAGCTGCCGGGCTCCCCTGGGGCCCGGATTCCGGGAATTTGCCCCTTTCTCTCGTCGGGCCTGGAAAAAGTCAGTGGCGAACTATATTTTTTTTTATTAAGAAAGGTTGTGACATTCTCGCACGAAAGCCACTGGTGAAAGTAGAAATATTCGGAGCACCCCAAAAAAATGTACATTTCGAGTCAATATTTTTAAAACGCTTTGAAAAAAAGAATAAAAAATTAAAATTTAAATACTCTGTATCTCGGAAACAAAGTATATTTCGTCCTATGTATACGAACTTTTTTTTAACAAAATAACTTCGGCAACACCCCCTAAAATCTTTCGCACTTATTAACAAACGCCCTGTATAAATAAAAACGCTTGTGCATAGAGTAAAATATTCGCAAAAAAAACATCAAATATTTTGTCAAAATGGAATTGGCTCGCTTATGTACTGGACCTCTCAATTAACATAGTTAAAAGACTAAGCAGAAAACTAATACCATAAAGTCTTACCTTTAAAATGTATTAGTTGAGCGGTTCGACCACAATGTCGTGGTAGGTTTTCGTTTTAGAGACGTCGTCACACCTCGTCGGAGGCGAGGGCGGTCGTGTTGCTGTTGAGTCCGTCCCCGCCTCCCGCTCCGTCGTCGTCGTCCGCGTTTAAGGCTTTGTTCGACGGCACCAAGGCTTCCAATTCCCGCACCCGATTCTCGAGTTTGACGATCACGTCGCCTTCCATCGCCCTGAATCGGGCTTCCAGCTTCACGATCACCGCTTTCAGTTTCCTGATTTCGTCGGCGAACTCTTGCAGCGTTTTTTCCTGAAAACCCAACACTAATCATCATCGTCATCGATCGATTAATAATAGTAAAAAAGCATTTAATGTCCAACAGTTTCTCATTTATAAGGCACATTTAAAAATAGGACGGCATTAAGCAGAATGCTACCAATCCTCAATAGTGACAAACTAAGATAAACAGTTCTAAAGTTTTTGTTCGTTTAAGAAAGTTTTATAGGCTATATAATTAAATGAAGCTTGGTAGCTTTTTATAGAATGCAGAACGTGTATTTTATTACCCAAATCCGCACCCAACCCAATATCTGGTATATTGTGGGTTGGTATCTTTCTGCATAACGCTGTCCAATATAATAAAAGTAAAAAATAGAAAGTGCGAGTTATCCCATCTTCCAGATTGTTCCCAATAGAATTACAAATACTCTAAGATTTATAGATGATTATTCTATGAATAGTTATTACTTACCGAAACAGGTGCACTTTGTTGACTAGCTTTACCACCTTTGGTAGATTTATCTAATAAATTACTTCTTCTAGAGACTGATAAGGACGATTTGGACTCTGGAGGTTTGTACCCGTCTTTTAAAGATATTAAAATTGGTTCGGCGTCTCGCCCGCCCATCCATTCGTCGGCCGTTTGAGCGTGTTGATCGCCCACCGTATCCGGATACAAATCTTCTTGGAAGAGCTCGGATTTTCTAGGCACTGTAAAGGTGATTACCTAGGAGAAACTATACTATAGTCATACTTTTTAAATAGTCCATAGACAACTTCAATATTTACAAAGTACTTTTGCAAAACGACATATCTAACCTTGAACACGATACAATAACTACATTTCCATATGATACAGGAAAAGACAACGAAGACGTCAGAATTTATTTAAACGGGATCAACCCCATTACAAAGCAAAACACATATAAATGATACAAATAATTGTATATTAAAAAATACAAGAAGAAACAAAAGTTAAAATTATAATTAAATAAGTTAAATAAGTTTTAGATTAACAGATGCCTTTTAAATAGTGTAAATCGGTTTGTAGACTCCGTTTCACGAGAGAAGAACACAGCTGAAGTTGCAACAATGACAGTCGCAGAAACCAAATTATGTCGTGTTTACCTACGTCGCTTAGTAACGACAGGGTCACGCCACTGGCGTACAATGAATATTTTTATGTCGATAGCCATTTATTTATTTTGTTAGCGACGTTAGCGTTTGACATTTAAGGTTATTTTTTTGGAATTCGTCTATTTGTTAAATATTTTTGATTTTGGATTATTTTAAGACATTTATAAGTGAGTGTTGTGTGTTTTATTTAATAAAACCATGCCTCCTAAAAAGCTTGTTGGTTTAAAAGGAAAAATTATCCACAGTCAAGGTCGGCAGATTATAAAAATGTCTCATTTTTTATGAAATCCGAAGCTGAAGATGGAATTCAAATTCCTTTACAAAATCATCGGTAAGTAGAATAAAAAAGTATAATACCTATGTAATAATATAATTTATTATTTCTAACCGGATCAATCAGAATTTACAAGTATTATTTGGCGAATTTATATACTTTAGTAATAGACTAGATATTATGTCTTTGGACAAAAAAGATCGGTTGTTTCATTATGTTATTGTAGATTATAGAGAAAGTAAAAGTTGAAAAGTCTTTTGGTAGGTAGAGAGGGGGTAAACGTCAAACCACGTCGGGCGGCTCCGAGAATTTCACAGTAATGTTTACCTGCCAGAGTCGTTTCATAGAATAAGTAATTTTAAATTGTTATCGGCGGAACCGGACAATCGCATGTATTTATGGATTATAAATAATTATTAAACATGTATTATAATATTCAAATTATAATTTTACAAAATTTCAACAGCTATTCACAATTTATTAAACTATTTACTCGAAATTGTTATTAACATCTATAAAATAATTTTGTACGCCAATGTATCGCGTCCACTTCGGGGATATCCGCTGCCAACCTGTCAATTTATGTGTATAAAGTGGGAGAACTGGCAAAAGCATTTCCAACTTTTACTTCTGTTCTATAAATCGTGCCCTTATTGCAAATATTACATATTTTGTCATAAACATACGAACTTAGGTTATAAAATTTTATCTGTAAAACAAATATTGCTAAATTTTGTTAGTAGTTTGTCGCTTTGAGCTTTAGTATTCTCATTTAAAAATAAAAACACATAAAAGTGATCATTCCTATCTATTTTACATATTCAATAGGGGGCGTCCATTAATTACGTGAGGTGTTCAAGGGGGGGAGGGGATAAAACTAAATCTTTCTAAATCTCACTTGGGGGGAGGGGGGGTTTTCGTAAATCTCACGTAATTTTTTTTCTGGTAGAAAACGGTGTAAAATTGCGTAAAAGTATAGTTAAATTATAGTAAAAGTATTTCTAGAATAAAATATGGAAAAATCTTATAATTATGTTTATTTTTTTATTAATTTCCATTTAAGTATTTATCATTTAATTTTATTAATGTGATTTTAAATAATTGCAACACTCTCAAACACTAGTCTTTGCTAGTCTTAAATAAAAGTAATGGAACATATTGTGTTTTTTTTTTTTTTAATAATCCAACACATTTACACCCAAAACACGAATTTTGAAAAATCTCACGTGAGATTAGGGAAGGGGGGGAGGGAGTTAAGGAAAATCTTACCAAATCTCGCCAGGGGGGGAGGGGGAGTCAAAAAATCCTCAAAAATACCTCACGTAATTAATGGACGCCCCCATAGAGTCTATAAAGGATTTGCAAATTGCATTTTTGTTTATTACATTTGCATTAAAACTGGTGAAAATGACACCACCATTTTCATATTTATATTTATTTAAGAATTAAATTTGAAATGGTTACGCTACTGATTTGAAGTCAAACATCAAATTTACAATATGGCGCTGGTTATGACACGTTCGCGCATACGACTGCAACTTCAGGTGTATTCTTCTCTTGTGAAACGGATTCTAATATTTCATTTTTACTCCAGTGTGTCCATACAGATTGCCTTAAATTTATTAAAAGAAATGCCTGTAATCTCAAGATTCAATTGATTTATTACCCTCAATGTTCTTTGAATAGGTAAATGCATGCCATAGTTTGTATTGTGAAATGGAACATAGTTAATTGCCTAAGGACTCTATTAGGAATATTGAAAGAAATCATAAGAGTTCCGGGCATGTGACTATACCATTTAATAATCTATAGATAAAATTCAAATCTGATATAAGTCGCCTGTTCTTAAGTCGGATCATATTTATTTCATTTAAAATCCTACCATAATGATGACGTTACCTGAATATTTAATTTGAAGGCACAGTATCTTAGAAATTTATATTGTATTATTTGCACTGCTAGACAGTGTATATGATATTGTGGCGACCAAATTATAGAAGCATACTCCAACTGAGGTGCAACCAATGTTTGATAAACTCTTTTTATGGCTTCTAGAGAGAAATCAGAACAGTTACACAATATTAACCCTAAGCATTGGGATGATTTTATTGTCATTGAATTTATATGTTCAATAAATCTAAATTGTTCAAAATAACTCCTAAATATTTGACTGAGTAAACCTGAGATTGTGGCTTATCATTAATGTAATATTGTGAGCTGCACTTTTTGTTCCCTTTAAAAAAGCTTATAAAACAACATTTATTAATATTCAACTGTAAGTTATTAAGGTTGCAACATTTAACTAAGTTGTCATTCTGAATGAAGGCTTGATCGTTAGATAAGTAAACTGGTCTATACAACTTTAGATCATACGCGAACATTAAGAACTCACAATGTTTATTTAAAGTATTCTATTATATCGTTAATAAATATATTAAATAAAAGTGGTGAACAATGAGATATCCCTGTGGTAATTCTGAGGAGATCCTAATTAATCTTGATCTATTACTACCGATTTCAACTTACTGACTTCGACTTGGCAAAAAACTTGTAAACCATTTCACCAGCTGAGATGGTATACCAAAAGATTCTAGTTTTGTTAACAATATTCCATGATCAACCCTGCCAAACGGTTTAGCGAAATCTGTGTAAACAGAGTCAACTTGCCCTTTAGATTTGTAACTGTAGATTTTTTTTGACCCAAGTTATGCTGGTTATTGATCAAAAGTTCCTTGCAATAAAAATTAGGTTGATCAAAAATTAATGTCCATTAAATTAGGTGAATACTAATGCTTCTATAATTATTTATATCAGTTTTCCTGATAACTGTGTTTCCAGATATTGGGGAAAACACCATTATCTATAGATTGTGTAAAGGTTTCGTGTTTGAAAGAAACTTAAGCTTTGTAAAATATTTTTTAATTATAAAAATTGTAGAACAAACAAAAATAATATGCCGACAACGGTCGACTATATGTCTTTATTCTTAAACATTCTGGATGTGAATGATAAAAAATCGCGACTCTAACACGAGTTACGAGTTCGTATCTCTCGATGCTTTAATGGACTGTATACGGGGTGTTGTCTAAAGGTTGCAGAACCGCACAGATTGCTTAAATAAAATGTAAATAGCTGGTCTAAGGAAAAAAAATGCAGTTTTTTAGAAATATATTTGGAATCCCATCGGGTCCTACACAATTTTTATTATTACAAAAGTACCAAAGTAATTTTCTAAATTTCCTATAATTTGCTCCATTTACTGCTAGGTTACCATAATAGTGCATTATGTTAGGTAAGTTATTACATTTCCTTTTACGGTTTATGATTGTCCAAAAATACCTGGGATTCTTGTATAAAGAGTGGTTTACCAGTCTAATATAGTCATTGTAACATGTTCTAGAAAGATTTTTACAAGTCGCTCTCAATTCCGAATAGTATATGTAGTCTTCTATATTATGAATTGTTATGTATTGTTTAAGAGCCGATTTTTTTGTCTCAAGAGATATCTAAGTATTAACTAAATTTATGTCTCGACTTGAAGATAGAGCATTAATTTTGAACGAAAACAAGTCGACTCACGTCAACTTTACAAACGGAAGACATTTCAATCAGATCCCGTTTGATGATTTAGCTGTGTATGACTCTAGACTCCGCTGGAGAGTACATGTCAGAAACGAGAAGAAATTAAAATTAAATACAGAAAAACGTAAAAAATTGACAAATATAGCATCTTACTTTAAGGCTGTGACTGCAAAAGAAGCATCAAAGTTATAACTAACTATAACTACCTACACTAGACAGCAAACCTGATGGTACTCAAAAAAAGTTCAATTGAAACAAATTTCAACACAACACCCGTTTCAAAAAACCCATCAAATTTTTTTTATATTATTGTTAAAAAAAAGTAAGTTACTTACTTGACACAGTCCAGAATTATTGAGTCGATAAAATCGGCTGATCTCACAGGACGTGACGTCGCATCCTCTCTTTGGCATCATCCCGATACCTCTTTGAGGATCGGGCGTTTGGAAAGTGTTAATATAATGGACAAACGGTGGCTCTGCTGTTATTTCGAAATACCTACAACATGAGACGTGTTACTGTTATACTAATCGATCTATATAGTTCAGGCAAAGGTTAAAATTCAGTACACTGAGCATAGGGTAATGTATTTTTTTAACATCTTAGTATTCGTATCTTTAACTGACAAGTTTACTGAACTTTAAAACCGATTGTTTTCATTAATATATTTTAAATAGGAAAAAAATTCGACAGCATTGTCAGTTAGCCGAACCATGCACAAGTCCGTATTTGGGCAGTAGATGAACCGATAATTGGAACAATCTCATCAGACTAAGACAGGCTAAGATACTTCTGGTTGAAGATAACTAGGAAAGATCGGAAGCATGTATGGCGCAATCCGAGTGAGATAATCACACAGGTGCAAAAAATCCTTTTGCATAAGTGATGTACATTATTTTTCATACGACTGCAAGACAAATTTCAAACCTACTGACTATGGAGGTCCAATCTGGATGTGACTAGTTTTTATGTTTGGCTTCCCACTAAACATGAAACATTACCAGTTTTTTTTTGTAACGTTTCTCGTAGAGACTTTTCTTGATATATTTTTAAAACGGCACTAAGATATCCCATAGATGTTTAAAGTTTAACTTCATATTCATTAACATTCTTCGCATATATATACAAATGATGTTTTATGTACACTGGAATACTTCAATAAGCAGTTACATAAACATCTTTTGTACTTCTTCTTAGTTACTTTCTGTGACAAACATGTATACCATGTTAATTTATACAGGGTGTTCCATATCTCAAACGAGCCACCATATTTCTTATCCCATAGTAATTGGAAAAATTTCCCAAAACACGTCGGATGATTTTCTTTGGGGAACATCTTTTGACGTATTTTTGAGGCTTGAACGAGCAACCTCCTATGAGGGGGCGCTTCAACCCCTCAAAATTGAATAGGGAAGAGCGGTTGAGTGATACTTCATTTGTAAGGTCTTGGAAGCCTCTTTACAACGATGTATGAAAAAAATCACATTCCTAAAAAAAAAAAGTCCAGAGGGTTCAGGTCAGGAGAGCGAGCAGGCTACTCCATAGGACCTCTTCTTCCAATCGAACGACCAGGGTATTGTAAATTGAGGTATTGCCGAACTGGTGCGGCGTAGTGAGGAGGAGCTCCGTCTTGTTGGAAATGCAATTGTTGTTCAATTATACTCTGTTTTTAAATTAGGAGGAGCGATTTGAATTTAAGTTGGCAATTCTGTAGACTTCTGATTGGTCAGATTGCAGTTAGTTTCACACATCACTTTTTAGTATTAACATCAGCTAATAATTGATATTGTTAACAGTTCTGACATTTTATATTTTGATATCTCATCATTATTACTTAGTTTTTTACTTTGTTTCATAAATAATAGTTCTTTTCAGAACGTCAGTAAGCAATTTTATTGAATTTCTACAATTATGGATCCTTCTTCATCGAGTACTAAGTATTAAGGGTAGCAATTCCTGAAAAGCCCTATAAGGAAGGGAAGACTACTAATTATTTTACATGCTGATTATGAAGAAGGTTTTTAGAAAATATATTATTGGTTTTAAAGGCAAAAAGACGGAAGATTACCAAGATTACTATGAAAAGATGAATTCCCAAGTATTGATAATTTTTTTACCAAAATAATTAAAAAGTAGATAAATATTCAAGTAAATTTTATTTATTAAAAAATAATAAAACCATTTACAAAATTGTTAATTCCCATTTAAAACACCATCTACTATTTTAGAGATAATCTTAATTTAGCATAATGAGCTAACATTACTTCCACATCAAATATAGAAATATACCCTTAACATTAATACATAGGTATGTATGAATAGTCACTTTAAATTAAAAAATATAGGTAAAAATTACAACTTGAGTTAAAAGGACCTACAATATTATTAAGTTTTATTAATGATACAATGTTGACTTGTAGTGTTAAGAAAATGTTGGTTTCAGTTTTCAAAACAAATCCTGACTCATAGGCCTGTAAACTTTTGAATGCCTTCATTTGCCCTTTAGCGTATTAACTATGGGTTAACACTAAATAAACTACAATGTCCATATTACTCATAGGAGAAATTCCAGTCACTGTGTGATTCAGTTGCCATTCACTGATTACCTTTTACTTAACAAATATATCATTGAAATAGTAAAATGATCATATTTTTGTTTTATATTAACCTGCATCTTGATATTCTTTTAACAATTTTCATAAATATTCAATATCCATTTAAAAAAATCATAATCCTCAAATAGTCGATTTTAAAAGCAACAAAAACAAATGAAACGCGGTGCTAAGGTTTGGTATATCTAAAGGGTTGCGACATACGACGTAGTCTCTCTACAATACGTTAAATCATTAAATGGATTACACTTAAATATTTTATGTCATATACAATAAAAATATTATTTTAAAAAAAACCACTTACATTTTCTATAAATTGTCAGGTTTGGCGACTACTATTTCAAATAAAAATAGCGTCCAAGATGGAAGGCTATGTCGCAGCCCCCTTAGATTTACGAGCCCTTTCCGCTGGCAGTTATTGTTGACAGGTCGTTGGAATGTCTGATTAAATTTCATTTGACAGTGACAGTTCGTTTTAGACCCACTTTTCAGATCACAATAATGTGAAAGTTACGACCATTGTGAAGAACCAATAAAAACATCGACTCCTATGACATTTATTTGTTCCTTAATCCCTCATTGGCCGTTCGACGACAAGGGTCGGTAATAATAACTATTACATAAATTTTGAACACGGCTACATTTCGGAACATGCTCTTAGTAACGAATCTAGTTACTTTTGCTTGTGTAAATGCGTTTTTTCAATTCGCTCCTCTTAGTTTAAAAACAGGGTATAGTAGAGGATCGTTTTCTAATTTTTCTGTTATTAACGGATCAATCGCATTTTCCAGCATTTCAAGATAAATTTCGCCATTTAAATTACCAGGAATAAACAGAGGTCCAATTAGGTGGTTTCCCAAAATTCCTACCCAAAACTTTAGCTTTTCCGGATATTGAATGTGAGCTTCTCGAAATACATGAGGATTTGTATCGCTCCAAATTCTACAGTTATGCCGGTTAACCTCTCCACTAAGTGAAAAAGTGCATTCGTCAGAATAGCAAACGTTGTAAAAGAAATTTGGGTTATTGTTGATACGCTCGGCCATAATTTCGCAAAACTCTTGCCTTCAATCCAAATCATCATTTAATTCATGAATTAATTTAATTTTGTACGGATGGAACTTGTGTTTATGTAAAATTCTGAAAACATTAGATTGACCAATACCCGAAACTGCAGAAAGTTGTCGGACAGATTGCGTGTTTGGCATAAGTTGGACATGACCCAATACCGCCACAGCTGCTCCTTCATCATTCGCAATTCTAATGGGTGTCCTTTTTTTTATCCATTACTGAACCCGTCTCAACAAATTTTGAAATCAATTCCATTACGTACTTATAGCGAACGCTACGTTCAGGATGGTATTCAGTTAAATATCCTTGCAGCCGCTCGGGCACCATTTTGATTTTGGTAATACAGGCTAACCAGCTCAACACGTTCTTAAAATGTGTACACCATAATTTATTTTTAAAATTGTAAGCAAATCAGCAAAGTGTTAACTCAACAGATTGATTTTTAATATATGAAATGATCGAAGAAATGTAATAAACACCTTCTAAGAACAAAAAATGAACGCAAAAAAGAAAATGTTTTGATTTTTTTTTTATTTATTAGTTCGAGAAAATTTATTATTGTATGGAAGTCAATAGAGGACAGTTTGAACATTTGATTTAAAAACGCAGTTTTGATTTTTTTGATTGTAAGCATGATAAAACAATTAATTTTTTTTAAGAATTTTATTTGTTTCATATACCGTTGTAAAGAGGCTTCCAAGACCTTAGAAATGAAGTATCACTCAATCCCTCTTCCCTATTCAATTTTGAGGGGTTGAAGCGCCCCCTCATAGGGGGTTGCTCGTTCAAGCCTCAAATATACGTCAAAAGATGTCCCCCAAAGAAAATCATCCGACGTGTTTCGGGAAATTTTTCCAATTACTATGGGATAAGAAATATACGGGGTGGCTCGTCTGAGATGGAATACCCTGTATAACTCACAATAATATCGCATACAAGTCAGCACAGTAGAGAGTTGAAGTGATGCTATGAACGTAAACGTATACGAGAAAAATGACATCTACGCATGCGTATTTAAATATCCTTCACGTTCACGTCTACGTAAGCTTGCGGACTCTGGCGTATGTACGCAACGCAAACAAAATAACCTCTTTTTAGCTGGGAAAGAAGAAATCCTGATATTAATTGTCATTATCTATCACGGCACGTAAATGTCACGATGCGTTTAACTTCAACTCAGATTTTGGACTTCAACGTAAACATTATATTTCTGCGTTGATTGACGTTCACGTTTACGTACTGGAAATACTTCAACTCTCTAATATGTACAAGTTACACATCCTTAAGATGGCTATCTTTAGTCTTTACATGGCAGACCTAACAGTTTGTCCTGCGCTCATAGATGGAGATACCAATGATCGCTTGCTACTTACGTAACCGGTAGTACTGTATTATGGAGCAGTCTGTTGCCCGGTATTAAGTATTTCATCAAAGTTCTTACTTTTACCTTCGATATTAATTTAGACCATTGTATTATGATACTTTTTCTGTAAAATTTCCTGTAATTAGAAGTTTAACTTGTATTTTAACTTCAAGTAGATGAGATATATAAAATATTTACATAACATAGTCCATATAAAAGACAATATACATAAAAATTAAAAAGTATGAACTGTATCGTATTGGGAACGTCACATTTGGTTCATTATTATGATTTTATTTTATGGGCTTTATAATAACATCTACAAGATGTAAAAAGACTTTCTTGGATACAACAGGAATGGCACATCTGGTTGGTTAAAAAGACATCATTTTTGGGAACTTCCAGTAGCGTTAAATAACGTAACAAGCGCTATAATATCACTGGAACATCTACATTGTTTCATCACAAATGTAATCGTCCCTACTCTGGGTTTAGACGGTTATAAGTCCGTCCTTAAACTGAAAACAAGAGTTACAATGTAACAATGTGATGTAAAGTTTTCATTAATTTAACTTATTTATGCATAGTGGGTTTGGATTACGGAACTGGGATTTGGATATTAAAAAAAATATATATGATAGTCCGTTAATGCAGAATGACTTAAAAATTCCGCCCTGATAAATCCTGATTTGAAGTGCCATCCTATTAAATAAAAAAGATGGCACTAAACCAAGCCGAAGAACTTAAAAAAAAATGCATACTATAGTTGTGTTTGTTTTTAATTCCTTTTTTATTAGAACGTATCAAAAAAATATCGTTTTTTCGCACAGAAAAGAATTGAAAGTTATATACTTCAAGTACGCCGCTTCCAAAGACTTTTTTGATCTAGGCCGAAAACATTTAAGTTAACGTTGGCTCAGATAATTATTTACAACAGAGTTGTTTTACAATCGATATGTTTTTGCAATCGATTCTTTTTGCAATTAACTCTTTTTACAATCGATAAATAATTTGTACTAGTCGATTTTTTTGCAATGGATTTTTATGATCTATTTTAGGATCCATTCTTATTTTATAATCGATTATATTAGAAATGATCTTTTTACAATAGATTTTTACACAATACTTTTCAATCGATTTTTACAATGAATCTTTCATGATATTCTTTTACAATAAACACTTTTTATAATCGATATTTTTTTAAAGCCGATTTTTACACAATCGTTTTTTAACAATCGATTCTTGTTTACAATAGATTTTCTTTTACAATCGATTCTATTTACCGTCAATTTTTTACAATCAAATAAATCAAAGTAGAAATGTCAGATTAAATGGACATTCTTTTTCCCACTCGTGTGATATGGACTTTAAAAACCTAGAGATAGGAATAGGGTATATACTAAGCATCCTGTAAATAATTATGTCACCCAAAATTCTGATGTAAGCGGCACCTCAGCACGCCGTAACTAATACTGAATTTTAACTGTAACCTGAAGTATAGTAATAAAATCAAAAGAAACCGAAGATGTGTCGAAAAACCATCTTACCTAATTACAGAGTCACCTTTACCGCACAGAAATACGAGATTCGTATCGGGATCGTATAACGGGAACATTACACCGTTCGATGTATCTAACTCTACCATCACGATCGGTTCTTCCAAACAATCGGGCGTACGTAAACTGTATTGCCTTTCGGACATCTTCGAGAAACCCGTCGTGAATACTAAACCGTGCCTTAAAAATATCGCTCTCGTTGCTTTCGTACCTGAAAACAGTTACATATAAATCCACAATACTCTATAGATGGTAAAAGCTGCTACAATACATAGGGAAAAGGAGGAAACCCGTTATAATCAGATTTAAAGAACATCTAGTACAATTATAAGATATTGTGTGCTGCATACACTCATATTAGTCAAATAACATCCAAAGAATTACTTAGTTGCAACGCCTGAATGAGAAGCATTTTGTCAATAGAGAGATGAAATACAGTACTACTGTTTTCTATGTCTTATATGATGCATGTTATAATTGACTGTGTAGTTAGATGTTTTTTATTCAAGCTATATCTTCACTTTGCAATTTTGCTGTTGTACATTTTTAAAAGATGGATATAATTGACAAAGACGTATCTATTTAAAAACAACTACATTGGAGCATACGCATATATAATTTGACTTGTGTTTTATATAAAATATTAAATGATATTAAATCCAATTCTGAACTATTAAATGTAATACTGTTCAATGAAAATGTAATTTTGCTATCTAAATACGAAAAATAGAAACGTTTAAACTATATCTTAAGAACTCACCTTCGTGTGCTATGGCTTCACTTTTGACTTCTCCATTTCTAGGATTAATGATTCTAATTTTTTTATCTTTACACGTAGTTAGTAGTTCGGATCCGTCCCAATTAAAGCAGGCGCTGTAAACGATGTCGGGATGGCAATTAATTTCGACCAGCGATTCTCCCGTCCCTAAAAACAAATTATTAGAATTAATGATAGAATTAGTGGTAGAATTATTGGTAGAATTAATAGTAGAATAAATGGTAGAATGAATAGAATAGTAGAATTATTGGTAGAATTAATGATATAATTCATGGTAGAATTAATAATAGAATTAATGGTAGTGTTAAGTGAAATTAATTTTAAATTAATTTCAAATTTGTTTTTAACAACTTCTCCATAATCCCTCGTAACACAATTTAAAAGACAACCGCTCGCTTCTCGTGATTTACAAAGTAAGCCTTGCGCGCATCCGTTCTTCTACATTCACGCTGGGAAACTATAAAACCTGCTGCCGTTGGTTTGAGAGTATTTTTTATTTATCGAACGCAAACTTCAATGTGCTAGTGTTGTGTCGACAAATCTACTAGTTTGCAGTTATTATGAGTAGATTTAGATAATTATCGTGTAACTTTCGTATGTGCTTATGTGTTACCGTTGGGGTAATTGTCAGGTAATGTTTTTTTCAACTAATATTTTAACGCTTTGCTGGATTTAGTTGGAAAGCCGATAGGTCGGCCATTTGCTTTTTTTTATTACCACCATGCCGGTTATTATTGTTTTATTTTATTTTATATAGAGCTCCAATCTCCACGTGATTTCGAATAAGCTACAAGTTACGTAGCTTCACGAAGCTTCCTAGTCTCCAAACAAGCTCTAAGTAATGTCGAAGTAGCTTCAAGTAGTCTCCCAGCTCCAAGTAGCTCCGAAGCAGCTCCATGATGCCCAAATCTGGACATACCTCAAAGTCTCGACATAGCTCCAATTATCTCCAAGTACCTTCAAAGTATCGGATAGACTTTATCTACAGGAGACGATTTAATAGGGAAGTACCGCTATATAATGTCACATGGTCGAAACAAAGAAACAATTTAAATATCAACATTCAATTTCATTCAATTTTTCAATAGTCAATTTTTCATCCATCTTTTCAACGTTAAGAGTTAAGAGTTATTGCTCCGATGACAATAGCAGGAAATTTGTATTAAAAATAGGCATTCTGTTTTAATCCTAGAAGACACAGTTTTAAAGATAATACCATATATTTTTTATGTGCAAAGAGAATAAGTGGCACTAGCCCTGGGTTTTCATACTTTTTTGAAAAAATGTTCCGTTTTGTCTACAAAAAATTATAAAGTTTATTAATTTTGTTTAAAAAAGGACAACTTTTAATAGAGAATTAACGTTATCAAACATGCATTATTTTTCGAACGATTAATGTCAACTTGTAGTAAATCTTTTTCTTAATAAGATCAAAAAATAATTTTTAAAATTGGACTTAATATAAAGCCGTAATCATTAAAATAGCAAAGTAATTTCGGATATAAAAATGATTGAATAATATGATTCCGATATCCCCTCTCAAGACGTTCCATGTTCGTACCGAAGGATGGGTGCTGTTGCCTTCCTCGTCTACCTAGTATTGAAATTTGGCCAGATACGGAATAAGGGTACATATAGGATCGAACTTAAATTTATTGTTGCTCGGTTGGTGCGAAGAGGGAAATTTTATTACATGAGATAATTTTGTTTTCAATATAGAATTTACAATGTTTCAATATATTTAAAACATGGTTTGATTAGAAAAAATTAGGTAGAAGAATTATATTTGTATAGTAGGTATATATTATATTTTCTAAAATAATTCATTTTGCAAAGAATATCAACTAAGCTACTAATATAATAAAATCTATAAATCAGCCTTATAAATAATGTATTTAACAAATGTTTCATATTATATTAATAATTTACATGTTTTCTGACTTATCTGTGAATGAAACGTGGAGAAAATAGTTTTACTTACAAGTTTTTCCTGATTTTGTTGCTGTCTGCTGTTGTAGTGATCTGATAATTTGTAGACTGTATAATTGTTTACAGAAAGATATTTCCTTGGATGCCCTCTTTTCAGCATATAATAAATAAAGCAAGAAGATAACTTAATATTTTATTTTGTACAAATATATAAAATATATTAATTTACACCATTTAACGTATAATAGTATTTTGCAATTTTTACAATACTTATGAATGCCTCTTATTCGTAACTTATGCTATTGGTTCAAGAGAATGAAATTCAGAATTATTTCGGTCTATATATATTGACTGAAACTCAAAAAGATATTCTTATAGAAATAATATTTTATAAAACTGAGGGAACAGAGCCGAAATGTTTTGTTACTATCCGGCTTTGATTGGTCCGAATTGCATGATGGCTGCCGTTGAATGATGTTATCATATTTTGTTGTTGCTAACTTTGAGATATAAATACATATTTTCTCTTTTTGATGTCAACGATTTTAAAAAGAGTTTTTGCTTTTAAAATAAGTGAATATTATAGAAGGCCAAACAAACGCCAAAATTGGCGTAATATATTATGAACAGGGGCGGTTTCTCCATTGGTTCATTTATCCAGTTAAATTTCATAAATACACATTATTTTAATATTACATAAATAACAAAAAAATTAATTTAATTTTAATATTTTTATTTTCATACGTGTTAATCTATATTTTTTTGTACATCATTGTCCTCTGGCTGATCGCGTCTCTGTGTCACAGTATACCTAAGTATACTGTGTCTGTGGCGCATTATGATGAGTGAGCCTAACACGAGTGAGACGATATGCCGAATGCATATAGCTAAAAAGAGAAGACAACACGCCAACAGATCCTGCAAACTGTCAAAGAGCACATTAAATGGCACGCCGCTCATAAACACAAAAGTCAGTTTACTAACTAATAATGTTTATAGATGGTTTTCAACGTATTAAAAACAACACAAATATCACACTAACTAAAATATTCATTTATTAATAGTTGTAGAGCTTGAAAACAGTATAATGTTGATGATAATAATAACTACACTTAATACAAACTCAAATAATAAAAAAACAGCGATATTGGCTCTTGTACAAAGTTTTAATCCAAACTTACATATAATGAAATTATTGGAAAAAGTGAACACCCATTTTAAATTACCACAAGCCGTCACTGATTATGAACCCTGTCCATCAAATTTTTTTTTTATTTTCAGATATGATGTAAATGTATCACAAATTATAAAATAATTTAATTTTGTTTTTGTGAAGAGCAGGGCGTTTGACTAAACAGCTCGATATTATTTTTTACAAAGTAGGCATAAGAAATGTATTTAAAATGATCGGTTATTATTTTTTGGTAACTTGATTGGATCCAGTACTACAAATAAATTAGTCACAGAAGATCTGCAAATAAATATAGGTATTATAGCGTTTTAACAGTACCTAGATTAAAATCAAAAATATTAAAGAAAATACTTTTAGAATAAATAGCGGCTTTGTAGAAACATCTTACTATTAATTTTATTTGACTTTTTGGAGGTAATTATTTTTGTTTTTTATTTTTTAATTTTTGAATAGCTTCTAAGATGTAATCAGGTTCTCTTAATGACATTCCCCGATTATGCCTTGGATCTACCAATTCTGGCAACATACAGTTTATATAAAACTTTTTTAATTTCTCCTCCATATTTTTACACCAGAAATCGTCTCTTTTTATTATATATTCCACTTTAAGTGGATAATTGGGACCTGTCCATACACCAAAAATATATCCTTTTCGTCCTGTAATATGTAATTGGCCTTGTATTTGATAATACCATTGATGGTGGATATTAATGTCAAAATTATTAGTGTCTTTATTAAAAATCCAAAAGAGTATTTTTTCAATTTAATCGCCTCTTCTACCTGCATTTGACATGCATCTTATGGACATTTTATTTCAACCACTAAATCATCTCCTACAATGCCGTCTGGAGAAGCACCTACAAATTTAAAAATTATTATTTTGATTTAAAATGAACTAATTTGCAATATGTTATAGTTACGTACCTAAATATGGATATTTTTGTCAATAAAAATTCCACAATCTCTAATCACTATATTTTCCTGCTCTTGAAGCTGCAAAAGTGCCGTTTTTTCATACTTTTTGCCATAAGAAATAGGAGCAGCATTGACTGCTAGTTGGTAAATAATCCTTTTGACTAAGGCTCACATAAAGTATTAATTCGTCTAGTACACATTGCTTGAAAGTGTGAGGCCGTAATAATTTTTCTACGAATTTCAAGCCAAACCCTGCTATCCGCCTGTGACATAGTTTGTTCCTGAATTACATTTCATTTAACGTCAGATGAAAGGAATTCGTTTAAAAATTAAAGTTTTTTTTTACTTCATAAATATCTTGATCTAAATCCTTTTTGGTACAATTTTCTCTATAATCTAAATCAGTTTTATTGGTTTTTGCGATTAGATTTTGATTTTATTGCCAATTGTAACATGGATTGGTTAGTTTTTTCAATTCTGAATTCTCCGATTTCGAATTATATGATACAACTACTGCAAAACATCTACTTTAGTAAGAGCGCCCTCTGGAATAATTGATACTTTTGTCACCTACAAACTTAGCGACTGTCGCATGAAATTGTTCCACAATATTACTATCAACATCATGTAATAGACTTCTGATGTGATCTGACAAAGCATGTATAATTTGTAGAAGTCTTGTAAAAAATTCGTTTAGATCTGAAATTGGTTATTTCGTTTTTGGTTTCATCTGTATGCTTCTGACAAAAATCTTCACTTCTGGTTTGACTGTAAATCTTCTACCATTCTGATTTGTGCCAGTCTTCCTGCAACCCCTTACGATTACAAGAAGTAAATTTTGGACAATGACTAGATTTTCTGTTAAGGCAGACTGAGTTTGAAGTCTAGGGAGTCCAATCTCTAATAAATATCGCAGTTTTTATGATCACCAAAAACGTGAAAACTTGCATTGTCTATGTCTTTCTTTAAAAGCAAAACGTTATTAATAGTGCTAAGACTATTTTCTTTTCTATAAAAAAACTGACTTCGTAACAGATGTTCTTAAACGAAGAATGTTTTGACTAATTTTTTTAGTTTTATTGGAAAATTCACAAATAACTTTCTCTTTTAAGCTCAAAATTTTACTAAATACGTTCAAATCTTCAATTCACCGGTATAACTAAATAAATCGCCGATCCATTTCCTATGATAGGGGAAATGTGGCTCGACGACCCATTCTTGGAATTTTGAAGGTAAGGGGTATAATAGGAGTAATATGCCGACAAATTAGTTCTCATGAACGGAGCAATAACTCTTAATCATTAATTTAATGTGTAATTGCATTATTTTTATTAAATGTATTAAATTTTCTCACTTTCTTTTGTTTGCCTGAACTAATAACAGATAACTTTAGGTACCATAGACTGACTCAATTAAACAGGGCATATAAAACCAGATAAGTTTTCCAAGTTACTCAAAAACTTGGTGGTGTTCAACATTTCTGTCGTTATCGTATTATAGTACCTTTCATTTTATCGTAAAGTAGACTTTGGCCCGCGAACAGGTCAAGCTACTCTGATTTTATTTGTTCTGGTCAATTTATAAATCCACGCAGTACCAGCAATTTGAGCTAAATCATCTCTTAAGTACAATTTACATCGTAGAAATCAAAAAGAAGGTAACAGGAGAATCACTGATAGAATTAATGATAAAATTAATGGTAGAATGTTAGAATTAATGGTAGAATGATCGCATAAAAGTACACAAACTGTACATACCGACATTCCATATAACAACGTGATTGTCACTGCCAGCAGTTAACAATACGTTTAAAGCTGTAGGATGCCACAGCACCAGGCCCACTCTTCTTTGATGGTACACCAGATCGACGACGGGTTCCGTTAGGGTCTTGTGAAGGCCGTGGTCCGGTATGTGCCATACTTTGACGACGCAGTCTTCGGAACCGCTGGCGATCACGTTATCGTTGTGGGGACACCACGCGATGTCCAAAACAGGTCCCTTGTGTCCACCTACCAAAGGATGGTCGGCTGCAATACGTCCTACCTGAAATTAACAATAATATTAATATAATACTTTATTGTCAGATAGAGAATACAATATTTGAAATAGAACATTTAAATAATCTTAAAATGGAAACCAAGAGGCAAAAAAGAAGATGTATACTGAATATCCTGAAAATAAATAAAATCCCTGTGGTACGCTTAAAAAATATATTTATATTATTTATCGTCTGTCTAATAAATAATTAATGATATTGTAATGTTGCATTTCAAAAACCATAAATGAATAGTATTTCATGATAGACGCAGTCGAACGATTTTAAAAAATATATTAGATATAGAGTATTATTACCACATACTTTGATTAAATAAAAACGTCTATTTTATGTGCGATTCGTGCGAGTCCTTATGAGCACATTTTTCATTACATTCTCACACATTTCACGTGGTATTTCATTAATTTCATCACGAATGTTTTGTTTGAGTTGCTCAAGCGTTTCTGGTTAGTTTGCATAAACCTTGCTTTCCAGATATCCCCACAAGAAGAAGTCCGGAGCAGTCAAATCAGGCGACCGTGGAGGCCAATGAACATCACTATTTCTTGAAATAACGTGTTGTGGAAAGAGGTCTCGCAGTAATTCCATTGTTATCCTGGCTGTATGCGATGTGGCACCGTCTTGTTGATACCACATGTTAATCAAGCCCAAAGCATGCAGTTGTGGCGTTAAAAAGTTTTCAATCATATCACGATATCGCTCCCCATTCACAGTTACCGTTACGCCGTTTTCATTTTCAAAGAAGTAAGGTCCAATGATTCCTCCTGACCAAATTGCACACTAGACTGTCACTTTTAATGGATGCTGATGAAGGTGACTAATGAATAATTTGAGGGGTTTTCCATTGCCCAGAACCGACTATTTTGTTTATTCACATATCCATTCAAATGAAAATGTGCCTCGTCACTCATTATGATTTTTTCATGAAAATCGGGGTTGTCATGGGCGAGCTGTAACATCCTATTGGCATATGTACGGCGGCGTAAATGGTCTTGTGGAAGAAGCTCTTGTGTCAACTGAATCTTATATGGATACAAATGCAAATCCTTGTGCAAAAATGTGGCCAAAGTTGTTCTTTGAAGACCAAGCTCCTGAGCACGGCGTCGAATTGAGGTTGATGGATTGTTTTGAACATTTTCCTGAACAGCAGTAATGTTTTCAGCCGATCTTGCAGTACGTTGTGGTCCATGCTTGGGCCTATCACCTACAGACCCTCTTTCTTCGAAATCATTCACTACACGATAAATAGTGCGTTTTGTTGGCACGTTGTTTCTCCCAAAAATTTCACGTAACTTTCTCATCGTCACAGTAATCGATGATTGATTTTGATAAAATGTTTTAACGATTAAAACACGTTGGTTTAATGGATATTTTACCATAATAAATTTGACACGTGTCTACTTCACGAAATATGAACTGTCAAGACTAATGTTTACCAAAATGGCGTCAAAACAAAGTAGTATACCTTTCCGGCGGACACGGACACCCTGTACTATGCTTATGAAGTCAAAAATTAGTTACGTACGAATCTCGGGCGAGTTGTCTCACATGATTATGGGTATTCCGAAAGCCCCCATTAAATAACAAATTACTAGAAAACGAGGAACAAGGCCCCCATACAAAATCGAACTAGAAGAATCTGCTATGGTCCAAAAGTCTTAAACGGAAACAGCGAAGAATAAAAATAGGAAAGTTTTCGACTACACACAGAGTTTTAACAATAAAAAATCTCATGATGTACCACCATCAGCATAACAGACAGAATCAAACCTCAAGATAAGAAGCTAAGAACGAGGGAAAAGAATAGCGATTCTGAAGAGGATATCGAAGATGATCAATGTTTCTATTTTATATATATCTACTTGGATTCCGATGAAGATTGGGTGACGTGTCGTCAATGCCAGAAATGGACCCATTGTTCATGCGCCAGAGAAGACGATGATGCGTGTTCCCATATTTGTGATTTTTGCAAATAAATACAAACTTTCCCGGGGCAAAACGAGCAAATATATGACATTAGTTTTTTAAATTGTGGTTAAGTTAACCTTTGCGTTAATTCAATATATTATATAGTTTTTATTAATAAACATATAAGCAATGTAACTCGACTTTTTTTTTTAATTTGGTGTCATCGGCGTCGACTACTACGGCCATTAGCCTCGTGTTCTGTGTAGGCTTTGTTACTGTTTCCCAGCGCCACTTTAGGAACAGCACTGTTAATTAGAACCCAACAGTAAAATTTATTTAAACGAGAATTATGATTTATTTTGTCTTTAACGTATCCGTTATGCCCCGGCTTTCCCTATATATTACATACAGGGTACCCAGTTTCCAGCCCTATAACATATACTGTATCATCAGTTACTATTAATTAGACATACTGTAGACGAAAACAATCACCTGTCCAAAATATTTGCCCGGCTTGTACAATCGTTTATACTTGGCCTAGTTTTTTTTATTCCTAATGAAAGAAAACATCCATTTGGCAGAGTTCGTCTTTAAAATTATTTAGATCTATTTTAATAATAAGCCGTTTTATATCATTTATATTGTATGCTACTTAATACAAATTTAGAAATTTTCTTATTTACCCAATAAGAAAAATGAATACCTATTTTTTAACTAAATATTTGATGTTTTTTTGTTCACATCGTTAATTCCATACAGTCGGTATCATTTTCGTGTTTGTAAATCGTGGGTTCAGATTAAGACAAAAATGTTGACTTTGGTGTTTTGATATTTTTTTAGAATTTTCCCAATGTGATAAGCATATAAACAGAAATTATACAAAATGCCTGACTTTCCATTTGCTGTAAAGTGAGAAGGGAATTTGGATTATTAATGGAAGTACATTTTTTGGTCAACTTTCAATAGGAGAGTTCGCGACCAGAATTTGGACCTTATAACGACACTAGAGTTGCGATTTTCCAGTGCCGTGCAAAACAGGAATTGTCTGTATCAATTATTTTGTGATATTTTGGATCCTAAGGAATGTAATGACGAAGGTTTTATTCCTGCCGCTATAACTCCACCGGGCACTTTTCCGGCCTGCTAAAGTATTTTATAAATGATATTTCACATGAACTATTTGAGTCTTATTTTCCACTGACATCCCATCAAAAAAAAATCAATATTAAAAATAAAATCCCATGACCTCCCTTTTCAAAATAACTTGATTTTCTTTTCAATGGATTTTCTAGAATTTCAACCACCCAACTAAATAAATTGAACTATCTGTTGATTTCTTATATCAATATATGGTAAAATAAGTTTTATAAAATATTATAAATGAACAATTTCGAAACATCATTGTGTGTTGTATTCTATTCGCTCAGTGCGAAGTCATGGTAGAGAAAGCAAAAGCGATACTAGCGCTAGCTGCGGATAATTCGCGCATTTTAGGGCGATATTTTCTAAATTTGGCATATCAACTACACGTATACATTTTACATAAAAAAAAATAGGTAAAAACAATACAATAAGCAACCGGAGTTACTGTGTTGTATATTGTAAAAATACTAGCAAAAAAAAAACAATGTAAATTATAAAAATGTTAAGTAGCAAAGTGTACAATAGCAAGAAAAATTACCTTTATTTTTGTAATAATAACAGTAATACTGGAAATAGCAGTAGACATCAGAAACTTGAAAGGTTTTAAATAAACAATAAATTATCATTTTACGATGTTTTTCAACATCCCTTTAATCTTAAATGTTCAGCAAGAACTAGATTTCTGCCTTTGATTATTGTATGTGGCTGGAATGCAATTTTGTGACTTACTGATAGGAAACCATTTTTTTCGACGACCACTACAGAAAATTATAAATTTCGAATTGTTTTTAAGGGTCAAAGTAGGCAATTCCGTACACATTCATAATTAGTGTGGAAATATTATTCCACACGGTAATTCCACACTGTTTAGTGCATCGAATAAATTGTCGTATAACCTTTAGTATGAATGAAAAAACACAATATTATATTTTAAGGACATATCTATTTAACTAAATATTTCGTCGAATACTACAAAATTCAGTTAATTTAGAAAAAAACTTAAAATAATTTATAATTTATGTAATGGTGGTTGCCTATATAAAGGGGATAATACAACAAAAATTTAAATCGGGTTACCCGATTTTAAATATTGACATTTGAAATTTTGACATTTAATTTATTTTATTTCGATACTTTTGAAAACTATAAAGTATAAAATGGACAGTGATAGTAATAGTAGTGATAATAATTATAATACTCCACCACATATTAAAGAAATAGCGAATAACATTACAGAAGACTTATTGCCTCAAACATCGGCGAAAAAATACAATTTAGCTTATTCAAGATTTATGGATTGGCGACTACAAAATAAGGTGAACTCCCTTTCAGAAACTATTTTAATGGCTTATTTTGGGAAGCAATCGAAATCTTTTAAATCTTCTACATTATGGTCAATTTACTCGATGTTGAGAACTACATTGTCAATAAGGCAAAATGTAGATATTTCACGCTATCAAAAATTGCGCTCGTTTCTGAAAAGAAAGTCTGAAGGATATGTAGCAAAAAAGTCAAAAATACTTACACCTGAACAAATCAACCAATTTTTAAATGAAGCTTCCGATGATGTTTATCTACTTATAAAGGTAAATACTTAATAATATGAGAGATTAATATTTTTTCATGTTAAATTTTATTTTATAGACAGCTCTGATTTTGGGAATAATGGGAGCATGTAGAAGAGAAAAATTAAAAAATTTAAAAATGTGTGACGTACAAGACATGGGCTCTGCTGTTTTAGTCAATATAACAAAGACAAAAACTAAAATTCCTAGAAAGTTTACGGTTACTGGAGATTTTTATGCAATATTTAAAAAAATATGACACTCTTCGTCCTTCAAATATACCTCACGATTATTTTTTTACGAATTATCAAAAGGGCAAGCGCACAGTGCAACCAGTAGGAATCAATAAATTTGGAAATATGGCACAACAA